AAACAGATACCTTCTATCGAGGCGAGCGGTCAAGTGAAACCAAAAAACTCGAAACAACGTGATGCAACAGTGTGAACTGATAAGTAAATTCTGAGCTAAACTGTTTACCATAGAATAGGTATGGTCTATTTGAACATCTTTAATCAAGACGGGAGCCTTCTATCTATACAGATAAAAAATCTGAATTTTAATAGTGATGTAAACATTCATTCACGTAAACTTATATTTCATTTCACACAACCGAGCAACTTGTAAACAATGTTGTTTATAACAATGGGCTTTTGTATACAATATTTGCTACACTGCCTGAAATGTCTCAGAACTTTACATGATATGTAATGTGAACTTATATGATATGTGACGCTCCATTTATGTGCATCATATTGAACAGAAATTTACGCTACTTTATCGAACTGTGTAGTCATGATATTAAGGGGTCATGCCTACCTGTAAACATAAAGAAACGTTTTTTTATTGCATAAATCGTAAGTGTATACACTTAAGATTATTTTCTTAAAATTTCATGTTGATCCGATGATGAACCGGGAACATATCTTAAAACTTTAAATGCAATTATCTCGAAAACTCATTTTCAAAGTCGGTGTTTGTGATAACTCAAATTCAATACATACGATTTGTTCAGTTGTTTTTGTATATTGTTTAGAACTGTTTATTTAGGGCCTTGATCGTGCCAATTTTGCAGATTATTAAAATTCGATTTTTTAGAGCCTATTAGAACAACAGAGCGGCGCCGGTGGTGTAGTGGTAAGCGTGATTATCTCTCATCCCAGTAGGCCTGGGTTTAATCCCAGTCGGCACCGCCGGGATGTTCTGAGGCATAATATTTCTGATCACGCCTTCCTTCGGAAGGAAAGTAAAGCCGTTGGTCCCCGGTTCATGAGTTGATGGGTCGATAGGTGGTAGGGTCCAGGTGTGGGAGCTGCCTCCCTGGCGTCGGTAGCATTGGTGCTCAGCACGGAAAACAAAATCGACAGAAAACAAATCAAGGAAAAAAAATATTTAGAACTATTATTAACCTGGCTTTTTAGTGTTTTTTTTTTTATCTTTGAAAGGCCGTAATTTTGTTTTTTTTTTTAAATCCATCGATCGCTGCCTGAATTGACTGATTGTGAAATCAAATTTTCGATTTCAGCTAATTTCTGCTCGTGCCAGTGACCACTGACCGAACGAAGTCAATGAGAACGCGTGATATGAATGCTTACACCCGAATTCAATGGCGTTTGAATGGCGTTTCAATGCTTTAGGCCTAATTTAGAATCCGTAGGCCGAGTTTGGGATCAAAAAGCAGTGTTAATAAATTTAGAAGTCATATGCAGTGAAAATATTCCATTTTTGTACGAAAAGTAGAGGCAAAAGGCAGTTTGTGCGTAGTAGGCCCAATATTAGATCTCAGCCCTAATGATTTTTGAAAACGAATGTAAGAACAATAAATTTGTGAAAACCGAATTGAAATATGTCGCTTAATTTCGGAGAAAAAAAAATATTAAATTTTGTTTGGCCTCGAAGGTAGGCTTGACCCTTTAAGCTACGGCAATCGATTCAAAATTAATGTCACACGAGCACAAGCCAGTGCGTGAATTCTGTGTTGAACTTTTTACCACAAAATAAGTCTTTTCCATCTGAACAACTTTGCTGGAAACGAGAGCCTTCTGTCTAGTCCATTTGAGGGTAAACAATTCAAAAACAATGTCACTTTAGCGCTGCATGGAGAGTGAATTCTGAGCTGAACTCTTCACCTTAGGATAGGTCTTGTCCATCTGAACTACTTTGCCGAAGTTGGAAACCTTCTATCTAGTCAATAAGTTAAGTTAGGGCAATGAATGAAACATGAATGTCACACTAGCACTGCCTGGTGAGTGAATTATGAGCTGAACTCTTTACCATAATATAGGTCTTGTTCATTTGAACAACTTTTGCCAAGACGGAAACCTTCTGTCTAGTCCAGATGTTAAGTTAAGACAAATAATGCAAAATTAACGTCACACTAGCACCACCTGATGAGTGAATTCTGAACTAAAACCTTCACCCTGAAAAAGATCTATTCCATTTGAACAATTTTGCCGAGAACTGGAGCGTTCTATCTATTCAAGATGTTAAGTTAGGGCAATCTATTCATGTCACACTAGCGCTGCTTGGTGAGTGAATTCTGAGCTATACTCTTTACCGTAAGATATGTCATGTCCACCTGAACAAATTTTCTGAAGAAGGTAACCATCCATATGAGAAGGATCTGTAGATAGCCTTGTGTAATATGTATTTAAGATCGCGCAACTTTATCATTTTCCGTTTAGCACCATCTAGTGAAGAAATTCTATCATATATGCCATAGTATTGGAAACCTTGTATTCTTGAATATCTTTGCACGAGGAAGCACCATCCGTTATGGTTGGGATCTCGTGATATAAACATCTCTTACATCAAGATATGCCATTGTATATTTTTACAATGACCCCTCCCTATGAGCGATCCACCCATCCAAAATAAAGTTTGAAAATGAAAACTGAAAACTCACTTAATTTACTCTGCAAATCATTAGAAATTTCAGAAATTAATTGAAAACTCGTAAGTATTTCAACAAAAAATTCCAATAAATATGTTTTCCAGTAAAACACCAAAAAATTGTATCTTCCATTTAATACCACTTAATTCATTTTGATATTCATGACAGATACGTATTTTTACTACAAGGTGCAGTCTTCATCAGTGTCATTCCCATTAAAGAACTTATCAACCACTTAGAACTCTGTCAATAGCGGATGGATTTTAATTCTAAACAAGCCAGTTTATTTGAATTTCTACAAATCTGCTCAAATGAACACTCACTATTGGAAATAACATAAATGTCCAACTGTTGCAATGGTGATATAAATCATCACCGATTGCCTGCAAAAAGCACTTTCCTACCACAGATTTCAAAATCGAACTCCATCCGGTCTCGCCGGACGGTGCTTATTTAATAACCGTGTGTGGTGTAGCAATGGGCGATCTTGGATCGAAACACAAAAGATTGATTCTTTTAATTCGATTAATCGATTTTCTTAATCGATCTCAAACACGACTGGATCGATCCTTTTAATTTGATTTTTGTTTCGATCCGAAAAAAAATTTCAATGCTTTTGCATTTGCAATTAAATATTGATTTTTTTTTGTCTTCACCTTTGTGAAACCATACAGTTTTCTTCAATTAGCTTTCATGGGATTCCTTTGGATGAGTTTTGGGATATCTGAATTAAGTACTTTCCGTACTTACCTGCTTTTACACACCTACCATCTAATCGTTTTTTTCATATGTTAATCTTTCGTTTTTTAAATCGTTCATTTAATACCAATAAAACGAATATTATAACCTGTTAAATCACATTGTTCGATCAACAATTTATTTCTCAATGATATCAATCATCACACTAAATGACTATTATAAGTGACCTATCATAACAATATAGCTTTAACGTAATATCAACTTTAGACTGAACTTGGCGTTAATCTGCACCAACCTTCCTATGATCCGTTATATTTGAAACATGTTTGTGCCATTTTGAAAAAAATGAATCGATTCAAAATGATTTAAAAAAAATGAATCGATCCACTAAGATCGATTCTTGCCCTAAGATCGCCCAATGCTAGTGTAGTGGCGTCTGGTCGGTCGTCATCAGTAGTAGCAGCAGTATTTTCGGTGCGTGACGCGAAAATTGTTCTCCACTATTCATTCACCGAAGAAGGAGGAAGAAGCCGCACCGCTACTGATCGGATTCAGTAGCTCTTCGTGAGTCGCTATGGGCCATCTATGCCAAGCGCGTCACCCGCGTGTTGAACACCCTTATAGCTCAGCATTACTCAACCATCACGAAAAAACGGTCCTTTTCAGAGCCACCATAGATTTGTTTACCCTTTGTCTGTATCTTGGAATCAATTTGACCCCAGACATTTTTTTAAATCTTGATTATTCATCAAAACGATTTTTGTCTCTGACATTTTTTCATGCAAAAGTCTTCCTGCTATGCCTGCCTCTTAGTTGAGACATATTTAGAATCTTATTTAATACCCGTTGTGAGGATTTCCACAATGAACTTAGCTTTATTGTTGAGGAACATACAAAGGTTTAAAGAGTATTTTCTGGACATTTGTCAAGGTCATCGATCGGATTTCAGTTCCCATACATTTAGATCTAACATGTCATGAATTTTTAAGGCAACATTGGGGGTGCAATTTCAAAAACCAAAGTCGGTCGCGGCATGAAAGTGGTCTGATTTTGATCCAGAGATGATGGATTTTAAATCTTAATACGCCAATCGATAGGAAATGTTTCTACTAAATCTGTTAAAATTGAGAGGGAGGGAAGTGGTTTCCATAACACAGTCGCCGAATATTGATACCGAGCACGTAATCCTACGTCAAATCGACGGTCGTGTCTTGGATACAACCTCTTACATTTTCAGTTCTATTGGAATGGTGGTCGGTGTGGGCTATCTTTAAACAAATATAGTAAGCTGGTCTTGATATGAGATTTCCAGATTATCAATGGTATTTCAATAAAAAATAAGCTTGATATAATCAGGTCATTTTTACAAAACCACCCTTCTGGCAACTCACGGATCTAATATGGACAGCATTTCTTTCAAGTTTGCGAGTTTTAGAATAAACGTCTCCAGTCATTTAGTCATCATACCAAACGCAACTACGAACGGCGCCGGTGGTGTAGTGGTAAGCGTGATTACCTCTCACCCCAGCAGGCCTGGGTTCAATCCCAGTCGGCGCCGCCGGGATGTTCTGAGGCATAACATCTCTGATCACGCCTTCCTTCGGATGGGAAGTAAAGCCGTTGGTCCCCGGTTCATGAGTTGATGGGTCGATAATTTGGGTCCAGGTGTGGGAGCTGCCTTCCTGGCACGTCGGTAGCATTGGTGCTCAGCACGGAAAACAAGATCGACGGAAAAAACAAACCAAAGGAAAAAAAAAAAAACGCAACTACAGTCTACAATGACGATTTCAAGTATATTTGTTGAATTCCATGAACAATCATGCGTTAATTTCTAGTTTGATTTCTCTGCGTAACATTCTCCTTAAATTTCAGAATTAAGTACTATTTCTTGTCAACAGAAACGATATATCTAGCTTAAAAGCGAATTCCTTCCTACAGCTATCAACGATTTCCTTTTAATTCCTAGTTGGCATATCATCTACACTTATATACTGATGAAGTACCGTTGCGTAAGTCACTGTTAGTTTAACTGTTAATCTTAAGTTGCTCTGTTAGTAATGCTTCCACGCTGATTGTGACCACTGCTCTTCCATCTGTTTATTTGATGATCAAGTCATACTTTCCGTAATCTCGACCAGCTGAGGGGAAAAGGAAAAAACGAATTCGAATCTCTTCAAAGCGCGACGACTGTATTCGGTTCGGACCGCCACTTACCTTCATCCGCCAGCTGTTCCTGTTCGTCGTCTTTGAGCTGGGCCCAATGGGCTGGAGCCCGGAAGCACAGCACTCGCCGACCGGACAGTTCCCTCTTGATACGCTGCCGCCACACGATCAGCACGAAGAAGATCAGCACCCCGTGCAGGCAATTGATGGAATCGATCAGGAACCTAGTTCAAACGCATTTGAGTAGGAGCAGAACCGGTTACCTCATAAGTCGTAAAATATTAAAGTGCACGCCATAAAAGTATCGCTCGAAACACTGAAGTGGAACAACTTGACTACCACATAGTAGGTTGATACTCACCAGAACCAGGACCGATTGAGGCGTCCATCTTCGACGTGGAAGGAGATGATTTCGAAAATCCAGATGAGCCCGGCCAGTAGGAACAATTTCAAGTAGAGCATGCATCTGAAAGTGGGGAAGAATGTGATCGTCCGTATTTTTTGGCACTTATCGTCGTCAAATTTAGAAAGAGGGGGAATTCGGAAAAATCGTTGCATCTTACTTGTATCGCAGTGCCTTCTTCCGATCCGGGCTAATGTCATCGCCGCTGGCATGCAGATGATAGCTGGTCCACACGAAGAGGAAAATGTTGATGCTCAGCATTATGCTCAGCGGTAAATAGACGAAGTAGGACTGCTCTCGTTCGGCTGGACGCGGCGGGATGGGTTATACGAAGAAAGAGAAAGCAAAAGGAGTACGAGTTAGAAAATTGTGCCGGGAGAAATGAAATAGGAATTGAATCGAAAATTGGAAATGATGGGCGGTGGATGGAGGTGGGAAAGAAATGCAGTGTGCAACACATTTCTCTGTGAAATTGAATTGCTACTGGCATCCGCAGCGGGATCCTTTGGCTTTGTAGCAGGACGGCACAGGGGTGTAGTGCGATGAATGAGATTTAAATTGATTTATTGGTTCCTCAGATAGTGTCGACAGCGTTCTTGAGTATCTTTAACGTTTAACAATTCCTTGAATTCATTTGAATTGGAAAACGAAAAAATTCTTTTGAAGTTACATTTTTGAAATGAGAGAGAATATTTTGTCTCGTTTTAAATAGCCGCTCACGGGTACCACAGTACTAGTTACATCGCTCTGAGCAGAACCAACATGTTGCACCCCTGTTGCGTTTATGCACGTTTTCAAATCCACGTGAACAAGAATCATCCCAGCAGAAACCAACCTTCATCCACCCAACGCATTCGTTCTCCTTTGCTCGTGTAATCGCAAAGATCGCATTTCTGACTCTGTTTATACGGCACCCATCGACGGTAATGTGGCTATATCGAATATATTCCACATACGTACAGGAAGATAGTGAATTGTTATGCAGATATACGTACTCCTAAACCAGCAGGATATCTCTCCGAAGGTTGGATTCCGCATGTGATAGATGTAAACCATTGCCGTCAACGTGAGCGCCACCGTGTGCGCGTAGATGTGATTCAGGACGTACCAATGCCTCTCTCTAATTTTCCACCGCCGTGCCCTGTAAATGATCGCGAAAGAATGTATTACATCATTTGAAAACGATAGATGCGATTGAGGGGGAGGTGCTGAGGCTGCAATGTTGAGCGATTTTCGCGGTCGGTTCGGTGACTGACTGATGGAATTCCGTTGTGGCTTGTCTGTCTGTCTGCCTGCCTTCCTTTCTACGTACATAGGAAGTTCGTTGGCGTGTGTTACAAGCGCTCGTCATTCTGGGAAATGCGCTAAAATCTGGGCTACCCGTCCACGTCATTCCGGGGATGACCAATCACAACCGAACCGACCGCACACGAACTGACTCATCAATTTATCATAGTCAAACCGAAACTTATGCTGAAACTCTATTACTCACACTGTCAACTTCCAGACGTTGGCCATCACCGTGTTCAACCAAGCGAAGTAGCTTATCATGAAGAAATACATCAGGAACGCTGTAAAAATGGAGAAAATCTATTATTCTTACTGAGAGTGGATAGCTCGCTACCTGTAATGATGAGTAGCGAGCTTTCGCTACGGTCAGGGTCAAAACATAATGCTCTTTTCGCAATTTATGAACAACCCCATATCAAACGGAATGTTACGAGTCAGGGGAGATATAAATTCGATAGCTCAATGTCTGTCACCCAGCGAGGGGCCAGATTGGAGCGAACCTTCTCAACTCGAGCGCAATAAATTATCATTTGGAGACGCATCCTCCATCGAATGGGCGCGATGGAGATGATAAGGCAGTGTCCCCTCGGTTCCTTTCAGAATGAGCTCTTGAAAAATTCGAAAACATCGACGACGTGTTGACACACGGAAACGAGAAACGTGCCCGGATCTGGGTCGAACACGGTGTCTTCCGCTGTTCTGACGTCTTGAACCGATGCCATGGAGGGAGGGAACAATTTTCAGGATATTGATTTCACCTTAGTCGGGGTGTTTTGTTTTCTCACGTTTGATGTGTACCTGTACTTGACAGCGACGACGAAGAAGTTCGGTAGATGTTGCGAAATGGATTGATTGATTGATAAGTTCTTCCGGTTACGATTAGGCGATTTGTAACAATGACACTTGCGATTGCTCCCTCGAGGCATGGAAGGTTTTCCGGGAGATTTCGCCTTGAAACGATTATTTTCTGGGATGCACTTCACTTGTCTTATCGAGTGAGGACGAGGAGTCAATTAAACAACAGCAATTAACAAATAACTGAATGTATGTTTTATGTAGTCCTAGCAGGACTACCAAGGTATTTCTAACAATGTCAATCAATCATGCGGAAAGTTTGCTGGAGATAAGGGATTTTAGGGTTAAGAAACTTTAGGTGCAATTTCAGAACTCCAAAAGTATTTCCAAATACATTTCTGATAAAAATTCAGAGATTATTAGTTCTGAAAAAATCCAGACTCCAGGTGAAGCGTAAGGAGAATTCCCTGGTAGTTCTAAGTGGAATTCCAAGGGAATCCTCACTGGGTTTCAAAGTAAATTTATAAGAGAATTCTGGAGAGCACTTCAAGGCAATTCCAAAAATAATTCAAAGCGAGTTCTGACTAAAACTGCAACGTAATTTTGAGGAGACATTTCTAAGGGATTTTAAAGGAGAACTCCAAAGTACCTGTAAGTAGAATTCCTAGTGACGAAGCAGAATCCAAAGGGAATCCTGAAAATAATTCAATGAAAATTCTGAGGATAGTTCCAAAAGCACTCTTAGGAATATTTCAAAGAAGTTTTGAGGAAAATTTCAAGGAAAGTTTGGAGAAATTTTCAAGAATTTGGAACGAAAATAAATATTCAAGACTACGGACAAAGGATAAATTTCACGAACCCAGATTCCAAATAAATTAAAGGCCTTGCAAAAGTTTCAAAACTTATAACCTTTAATGAGTTCATTCGATGAGAATTTCCAAGAATCTCTAGGAATTTCAAGGCTATTCAGAGGGAAGTATCAAAGGATGAATTCTTAGGAACGTGAAATCTGAGGATTCCATGCCAATTAGTTCTGATGAACTCCAGACTCCAAGTGAAACGGAAGGATAATTCCAAGGTAGTACTGAGTGGAATTTCAAGGAAATCCTGAGTAGAATTCATAGCAAATTTATAAGAGAATTCCGTGGAGCATTTCAAGGCAATTCCAAAAAGAATTCAAAGAGAGTTCTGACTAAAACTGCAACGTAATTTTGAAGATACTTTTCTAAAAGATTTTTAATGAGAACTCCAAGGTACTTGTTAGTGGAATTCCAAAGGGAATCCTGAAAAGAGTTCAATGAAAATACTGAGGATAATTTCAAAAGCATTCTTAGGAATATTTCAAAGAAGTTTTGAGGAAAATTTCAAAGGAACACTATGGAGTTTCAAGGTTGTTCCTGTAATCATCTTTAGAGAACTAAAAGAAAAGTTTCTAGGGAGTTCTGAGAACTATTTCAAGGAATACACGGAACCACTCTACGAGAATTTTAAACGAAATATAGACGGAATTCCGAAAATTATTCCATGGGAATTTTAAAAGAATGCTTAGTAGCTGTCAACCATCACTTTCAATTGAAAATCATTCTGTCTTCTCTTAGAGCTGATCCCCTTCAACATCAACAGAATCACTTTCGATCAGTTTTCATGGTGTTTCTTTGGCTTGACTCGTTCGCATTTAAGCGAAGCTGTTCGATCCAAATTCGCGCAGTTTTGCTGGCTTTTGTTGAATGTCCACTTGGTTCATTGAAGCGCATGCCCGGCATGGCGGCTTCCGATTTCTGAAAAAGTAGGAAATACTGACGCCGACCCATCAATATGGGTATTTTTTGGAATCGGGGTGCCCTAGCAGCACACTTGTCACTGAGTAGTTGTGGTAACTTGTATGTAACTTAATTCAGTCACAATTAAGTTGCCTCAACTTAGTATGATGGAATTGTGTTGGTTGGGTGACGTCTAAAGATCGAGAATAGATATCCGACGCCATTTTAAAATCCAAGATGGCGGCTTCCAGTTTACAAAAAATGTGGGAAATATTGTCAAATATCCATTAGTATGGGTATTTTTTTAATCGGGATGGCGTCTAGAGGCTGAAAATCGATAATTGATGTCATTTTTCAATCCAAGATGGCGGCTTCCGATTTCATGAAAACTGTCAAATGCTCATCAATATCAGTATTTTTGGAATCCGGATGACGGTCAAGAGATCGAAAATTTATATGGGGTGCCATTTTGAAATCCAAGATGGGGGCTTCCAGTTTAAGAAAAAGTGGGAAATACTGTGGAATACGCATCAATATGGGTATTTTTGGAATCGGGATAATATCTAGAGGATAGAAATCGATCACCGACGCTGTTTTGAAATCCAAGATGGCGACTTTCGGTTTAAGAAAAGTGGGAAATACTGTCATTTTTGGAATGGGGATGACGTCTAGAGAATGAAAAATGACATTCGACGCCATTTTAAAATCCAAGATGGTGGTTTCCAGTTTTAAAAAAATTGGGAAATACTTCCAAATACCCATTAGTATGGGTATTTTTTTTTATCGAGATGGCGTCTAGAGGCTGAAAATCGATAATTGATGCCATTTTTCAATCCAAGATGGCGGCTTCCGATTTCACAAAAAAAGGAAATACTGTCAAATACCCATCAATATGAGTGTTTTTGAAATTGGGATGACGTCTAGAGATAGAAAATTGATAAAGGATGCCATTTTTTTACTATAGTCACTTTAACATTTTAAAGGTCATTCGTGACTGCCATTCATAGCCATTTTGAAATCTAAGATGGGGGCTTAAAGTTTAAGAAAAAGGGAGAAATACTGTTGAATACGCATCAATATGGGTATTTTTGGAATCGGGATAATATCTAGAGGATGGAAATCCATCACCGACGCTATTTTGAAATCCAAGATGGCAGCTTTCAGTTTAAGAAAAGTGGGAAATACTGTCATTTTTGGAATAGGGATGACGTCTAGAGAATGAAAAATGACATTCGACGCCATTTTGAAATCCAAGATGGCGGCTTTCGGTTTAAGAAAAGTGGGAAATACTATCATTTTTGGAATAGGAATGACGTCTAGAGAATGACAAATTACATTCGACGCCATGTTGAAATCCAAGATGGTGGCTTCCGGTTGAAGAAAAGTCCCATTAATATGGGTATTTCTGAAATTTAGATGACGTCTAGACAAAGAAAATCGATATTCGACGCTATTTTTAACTAAAGGTGTCAACTTCCAATTTCAGAAAAAGTGGTAAATACTCTCAAATACCCATCAATATGAGTTTTTCCAAAATCGAGATGACGTCTAGAGAATGAAAATTGATATTCGACGCCATTTTGAAATCGAAGATGGCGGCTGCCAATTTAAAAAAATGTGGGAAATACTGTTAAATACCCATCAATATGGGTAATTTTGAAATCGGGGTGACGTCTAGAAATTTGAAATATACATGAGACGCCAATTTGAAATCCATGATGGTGGCTTCTGGTTTAAGAAAAAGTGTTAAATTCTATCAAATACGTTTTTTTAGAATCGGAGTAACGTCTAGATGCCGGAAATCGATATCCGATGCCATTTTGAAATCCAAGACGGCGGCTTCCGATTTGAGTAAATTGTCAAATACCCTAAAATATGGGTATTTTCTGAATAGGGATGACACGTAGATGCCGAAAATCGATGTCAGATGCCGTCTTAAAATCCAAGATGGGGATGTCTGGTTTCAGAAAAAGTGGGAAATGCTGTCAAACACCCAACAATATGGGTATTTTCGAAATCCCAGAAATGTCTAGAGGCCAAAAACCGATATTTGAGGCCATTTCTAGACTAACATTTGAAAAGGACGTGATTCCAAAATGACCATATCGAGAAAATCGCTTCCGAATTTTGATGACCTAAAAATTAATCCTATTTCACGACTTTCCATTTTCTGGATGATTTTATAAGCTTGACATATAGTTAATAGGGTAATCTATCATCATGCATCACCAAATACTCAAAAAAAGTTATACGCCCTGATAATTTCTTACATGTTGTTACCCTCCGCATCTTCCACCCTTTGAACTGCCAACATTGGTAATACGCCGTGGAAGTACACACTCGGGATTTTTTGTTTGTTGTTCCGTATTGGTTCTTCGTTCGCAAATTTTGTGAGAGTGGAATTACGCCCGGAGATTGTTTGGTCTTCTTTTTTTTTCGTTGTTTACACGGTGAAAAATCGATCGGATGCCTTTCAAATGAATCGGGCGTGACTAGATACTACAGAATCAGTACGTTTGGCATATTAAAACAATATAATTTGTACTTCTGGTGCAAGGCGTAACAACCAGATGCATCATAGAGTTGAAAGTTGGAAATACGCCGTGTAAGAAGAAACGTTTTTGATGATTTGATGTGATATGTTCTTCTACTTTTTCCGCCCCTTTCAAACGGTAGTCTAGATTTTAAAATCTTAGATGGAGGGCTTTGGTTCAGAAAAAAAAGTGTAAAATACTGTCAAATACCGATCAATGTGGGTATTTTTGGAATCGGGGTGACCACAAGAGGCCAGAAATCAATGTCAGACGCCATCTTGAAATTATAAATGGTGGCTTCCGATTTAAGAAGAAGTGTCAAATACCCTGCAAATGACTTCGAATATCGATTTTTAGTATCTACGCGTCGTCTCCGTTCCAAAAATACCCATATTGTAGAGTATTTGACGTTTTTCTGAAACCCGATGGTTGCCATCTTGGATTCCAAAATGGCGTCGGATATCATTTTTTGTCATCTGTCAAATGTTCCGAAAATACCATCATCTTATGTTATTTCTCATGCATTTAAATTGGAACAATTTCTCATCATAGAGATTAGTTTAAAATTCTTTTAAAATAAGTTTCTCACTGGAGGTCCCTAAAAAATGTATTTATAACAGTCTAGACATTCTCTGCATTCTCAATAAATAAGGCATGCAATTCATCCTCAGGCTTTCTTCGAAGCTTCCTCTCATAATTCTATTTAAAATTCAATTGAATTCTCTTTGAAATTCACCTCAGAGTTGTGCTTAGAAATTTCCTTCAAATACTCTAGAATTTCGGTTCATGGTTGAAATTCCCATGGAATTGTACCCTAAAAATTCGATCCCCTTTGTATTTTTCACGGATCTTGGATTCCTCTTCAAAATCGACTTCGAATTTGCCATAGAGCTACTTAAAAATTCTACTCTGAATTTGAACTCACACAAGTGACTTGGCGTTAACGTCTAAAATCCCTAATGGCGGTAGGCTCCAAATCGGATTGACTTTCAATACCGTCCCTGATTGGATGATCTGCAAAATGTTTGCTTAGAGTCGTGTTGATAACTCTGATGTCGACATCATAGCAGCCGGACATTCTTGACCGAGATTTATTCCGAGGATAATACCGGTTGAAGCTTACCACCATAAGAGTTCTTCCTAAAAATCTCGTCTGGTTCAAGAATCTTAAAACTTTTCATAAGCCCAAAAATCTAATGTTTTCTTCTGAAAAATAGATTAACTAAATATTTTTCCAATTTGTCATCCAAATTCGCCGGTTTTTTCCGGTGTCTTCGAATTCCCGGCTCACTGGTGAAAATCGGATGATATCGAGTAGATGCGAATGGAGCTTAATGCAAAACAGCTTGTTGCAGAGTTTAGTCTCCTTCCACCCCACCACTGGTTGTCTTGGTGATATCACTCATCACGTCCGTCCGCTGCATGATAGTTTTACTGCACGACAACAGCGCTGTTTTATAACTTTACAGGTTCAAGCAGAACTATGTGCAACCAAGTGGTGCTCGATTATGATGACTGGGCTAGGGAAAACGTTGTTTGTTTAAAATAACAGTGATAAAATATTCACTTTTTACTTGTACATTTTTCAAAAGTTTTTAGTTTATAAAACTAGGAAAGTATTTATTTTAGCAGATTCGTAAAGTTATTCTCTATCGATTGGTATATTTGAATTTCAATTTCATCTATCAATGACAAACTTTAAAGCATTCAAAACCTAACACCGTTTCGTGATGGTCGCAATTTTAGATTTTCGATTTTATCCCTGTACCTTCCCGTAAGACTTAGTTTACGTCAAAAGCTTTTCTGTTTCACTGAAAGCTTTTCAAATTTGTATAGATCATTCTATATTTAGTACGGGTAAAATTGCATTTTTTTCCATTGGTTATGGCCTTTGAGGTGGGTAAACTGTACAATCCCCTGCTCTCCGCTGCTCAATCTGTATTGAGGTCATCAACAAGTGTTTTAAATGTATACGAATTTTGTTACTATCTGGATATGCGGGAGAACTTTAATATTTGTATGGGAAACGGATAATAACTATTATATTGCTTATCCAAAATTCACACATTGCTCAACAATTCCCATAGACTTTGGCTTAGATTGGGCAAACTAGGCAACAAAGCTTTGCCGAAGACCGAAAATCTATCTGACTTCTGACAATTGATACTAACCTTTTACTTTAAGCCAAGTTCTCCACGCAAATCAGCCGTATATGCAGCCATTCTAAAGCAAAACGATATAGTAGTTCTCAAAATTTCGTAAAAATTGGTATTTTTGTTCCTTATCGTAAAATGTTATATATTTTTTCAAAAATTTATAACTCTTGCACCACTAGGTTCGATTTATATCGACTGTAGCATGGTCACAACGCATGGTAGTCGTTTAGTCGCATAGGAGTATTGAGCGAAAACCCAAAACTTGATAACTTCAAAAAAATATAACTGAAAAACGAAAAAAGATATGTTGTGTAAAAAAGCCTAAATTTTAAGGAAAAAATATAAAATCATATTGCGCCCTCTGTCTATGAAAACCATAAAAAGCAAATACAACCAATATTTTCAATAAAAATCCCAATATTTTAATATAATTATATTTTTCCTAAAAAGTATTTTTTATTAACTTTTCATTGATATTTTGATCTTTGAAATCGGCCCAGTGGTTCAAAGGTTATAAGTTTAAAAAAAAGTCATTGTTGAAAAGATAATCCAAATAATTTGTTGGACTACCTTGGCAAGGAAATGGACACCCTAATGACAAAATAAACAAAAATTCGGTATTTTGCGATAAGGAACTTTGCTATTGAATGGCTGTATGTATTTCTACAACGCTTCGTCCGGATGGCGAGCATAACGGCGCTTTATCACCACATAGTTCATATCACTTCTGATGATGAATTCTGCTGTTTTACTATGCTTGAGGAATATCAAATGCTTCCACGACATCTCGGGTTGAAATTCTTCTCAAATCCAATAACGAAATTCTCCCCTGACATAGTTCTCACTCTGTCACGTGAAAACCCACCGAAATCGTTTCGTTCTCGATTGTCATTCATAGCTTTACCGAAAACTGCAGCACAGGAAGCAGAGAATATCTTAAGCACTTTTACCCGTGCACAGTACCTAGTTGGTACAATAACCACCAGTACGCCACCTTCCTCCCCGTCGTCGTTGCCAAAACCGTTTTGCTGTGCAGCAAACTTACAATCACCATGGCAAGCGGATATCGATGCAATAAGTCACACCTGCAGCATGCTTATGTTCTGCTTTGCATTGTGCTGGAGATAACACTGTACCACTGTACGTGAAAGCGCCGAGGACGACCCCAGTTTGAACTCGTTCAAAACGGCTTGCCACTAGCAAGCGATATATCTAGACCACCCTACCAGTCCCCATCCTGGAACCAACTTACCAATCGTCATGCACATAACCGGATGAAAGGTAATCGAGGCCGCCAGCTGTACCGTGCTCATCAGTATCATAAACACCATCAGACATGCAACGGCAATCGAGGTGACCTTATCCTGCGTCTCCCGAAGGTCCGGAATGATGAAGTAGATGTATAGCGTCATCGCCAGGAAGAACACCGAGACCAGCATCATAATGCCCTTGCTCAGGAACGCCGATAAGTTGGGCTGGTCTTCCGGGTTGAAGCAAACCATAAGCACCGGCTGGCTATCGGTACCATCGAGCAACGTTCCGAAGCAGTAGCTGGGGAAAATTCACGCATCAATGATCAAATTAAGATAAAAGAAATCGGAAAAAAATGCTCAAACTTACTTTTCCCACTTTTCGATTTCGTTGTTTTCCTCCACCAGATTTCCCTTGGCATCGATGTGAACTTCCGCCTCCAGCTCCTGGTAAATGATGTAGTACAGGCTGCAGTTCATCTGAACCCTGTAGGAAAAGTTCCCCGAGTGATTAAAGCATTCGTGGTGGTTGGTGGACAGCACATCGTCGTCCTGGCAACAGGATTGTGGCTTAACGGTGAGAGGCTTCGGACCGTCATTATCCGTAGATTGTTGTGGAGCTGCTGCTGCTGCTGCTGATGCTGGAGAGGCGGTTGCTAAAACGCAACCAAGCAGGACCGTCACTGAAGCCACTATCGCAGCCGAGCTGCCCAGATTGAGACAACATTTGTACTTCATTTTAAGAATATGTAGCTGCGCTGAACACTACAGATTTCTAACTAGCAAATGGGTTTTCAATTCATTGAGGTTTCGATTTTTTTTTTTTTTGGCACAATTGTTACACTTTTCACTCGACAATCGTATCGTATTATATCACACTAACTTTTCACACTTTTCACCGACCCATGCTGCCGGCTGCTTGTTGTTTACTACCGCTGTCTGCTACGGGTATGGAGTTCATTAGCCGTGGTCGAAGCGTTCCAGCCAGCGCACACCAACACCAACCACACCTGGAAGAAACGGAACAGTTATTAATTCATTAGTTCTGCTACTCTAGGGCAGTTGCGAGAGCTCGCTTTGGGGAGTCGGTTTTAGCTGTGGTTGAGCAGTAGGGGAGCATACTTAAACGACGTAGCATATTTTTTACCATATTTAGACCCCTTGCCTCTATCTCGTAGTCATGGTTGGTCACAACTTTTTTTTTCCACGAACATGCTACATCATTTATGCACGGTCCCTAGGTAGGTGGCGCTTACTTCCCGGTTAAAAGGTGCGTGATTTGCAATTTTAATGCTTTTAGTATTTTGCGCTTCCCATATGCTCAAACCCGTGCCATGAATGGTGCGCGATGAGCTGAGCGATTTGAGGAAGGTAAGGTTTAGCAATCCATTACAAAGCAGATTGGGGAATTTAATGTGCTGTAAAATCACGTGCAATTCAGAATCATGCTATATTGAGTCCATTCACATGTGTTTTACTTAGGAGAGAGTATGGCCTCGGCTCTTCTTAACCTATTATAGTCAGGGGTCGGATGATGTCTTAGAGCGCTGATTTTTTGTATGGAGGTGTATCATGTTCCAGAGCATCGGTTTGCAAAAAAATGACACTCTCAATGACTTCATTTACCCCCTGACGATATAAGGTAAATATAATAGAGAGCTTTCTCAGTATGTACCATTTTCTGTATGCTAAGTTCACCATGACACTCTGGCATAGAAGTGAAAAAAATTCACGATCCCAAAAATGACCTCGGCCGAACCGGGAGTTTATTCTGCCGCCTGGTTTGTACAATGTTGCCCCAGTTTTTAACCCATTCGATCCTACGAACAAAGTCAGCTGTCGAAACTGTTCTACAATACGTCTAAAGACTGAACTCGAAAAAAATTGAGACACATTGCTTAGTTTGTACACTGATAGGCAAAATAAAGTGCCCACCCCATCATTTTTGAAATTTCTCTCATTTATTTGGTTCAAATTCAAATAAACACACCGTAGTCTGTTTCGATGTCTTACCTTTATTATTCTTTTAAAGTTACACCTATGGAATACTGAAAATATAAAGTTTTACTTGAAGTAAAAGAAAATCAATTTGGATTGAAAAAGAAAACAGTGACAAAAAAAAGTGCCCACTTCAAAAATCGGTATGTTTTCGATAAGTTTCCATCGGAAAACCCCTCGATTGTTTTTGTTTTGAAAGTTTGACATGTATTGAAGCAAACGGGTGGAACTGGTGCATTTGTACACGTGATCGCATTTGAATCAGTTGAAAAAAATGGAGGACGTAGTGATTTCGAAAGCAATTCCCGTGTGTATCCGAAAATTGGTTATTCGTGATGTGCAAAACGGTGAATCGCACCGGTCTGTCGCTAGGAAGTACAATATCAGCAAAACAGCGGTCGGGAAAATTCTGCAGAAAATGAAATCGTTCGGATCAGTGGTGGATCGCCCTGGCAGAGGCAGGATGCGCAAAACGGATGCGAGAACGGACACCAAGATCATGCGTGAAGTGAAGAAGAACCCGAAGGTAACTGTCCGCGAGATCCAGGAGGCTCTTCAGCTAACAGTTTCCAGTCGAACTGTTCGTCGCCGTCTCGTAGCACAGGGGTTGAACAGCAAAGTTGCTCGGAAGCGCCCATTTATCAGCAAGGCAAACAAAGTCAAACGGCTTAAGTTTGCTAAGGAGCATGCTGATAAGCCCCTAGAGTTCTGGAAAACGGTTCTCTGGACGGACGAATCAAAATTCGAACTGTTCAACCGGAAGCGACGGGTTCGTGTGTGGTGTAGATCGGGTGAGGAGCTTCAGGAGCGCCACATACAAGGCACGGTGAAGCATGGAGGAGGAAATGTGATGGTCTGGGGGTGCTTTTCGTGGGGTGGAGTGGGAAGCCTGGTGAAAATCGACGGGATAATGACGGCAGATTCCTACATCGACATCCTGCGGGAAAATCTGGAAGTTTCGCTGATCCAGACGGGCCTTGAGGAGAAATTCGTATTCCAGCAGGACAACGATCCGAAGCATACTGCCAAGAAGACTAAGTCTTTCTTCCGGTCATGTCGAATTAAACCACTGGAATGGCCTCCACAAAGCCCGGACCTCAACCCCATCGAGAATTTGTGGGCGATTCTCGATGCCAGGGTTGACAAAACTGGTGTTACCAATAAAAATAACTATTTTGAAGCCCTGGAGCGCGCCTGGGAAGAACTAGATCCACAGCACCTGAAGAATCTAGTGGAGAGCATGCCGAAGCGCCTGCAGCTGGTCCTGAAGGCCAAAGGAGGACACATTAACTATTAGGCTGGTATTCTTTTACTTTATTTTATGTTTTCTGGAGTTAAAATGCAGTGGGCACTTTTTTTTGTCACTGTTCTTTTTTACACCCATTTTGATTTTTTTTTCTTCGAGTCAGTCTCTTCTTTTTATCTGGTATTCTATAAGTGAAACTTAAAAAGAATATAAAGAATAAGATATAAAAAATACTACAGTGTATTTACTTTAATTTGAACCAAATAAATGAGAGAAATTCAAAAAATGATGGGGTGGGCACTTTATTTTGCCTATCAGTGTAACTGTTTAGCGTGTGGGTAAAATTGTTGAAATTTTGACTGAAACTAGCTAAGAGTGTAATGTTTACGCTGGCAGAATTCCATCACAATCTGTCAAGTGACCAAAAAATCTTGTGCACTATCGTGTAAAATCCGACTGCGTTCCACAGATGGATCGGGGAACACCTGAGAATCCATCATTCAACAATTTCCCGGGTGGTGAAGTCATTTAAGGAGACCCAGACGACACAGCGGCGGACAGGCAGAAAACCGAAGACAGCTGACCCGGTGATGGCCAAAAAGGTGTTTGTTTGATGAGGCGGCATCCACGTCTACAAGGTCCGGAAGGCACCTAACCGGAACGACAAACAAAACACGGTGGCCAAAACCCGCGCCAGTACCAAAAACCGTCAACCCACTGAACTCGCCGGAACTTCGCCCGATTGACAAGTTTTGGGCCTTTATGAAGGCCAGACTTCGTAAAATATCTAAGGTGTTGGAGAACGAGCTGGCTTTGAAGAAACACAGCAGTTCCACACAGATTCGCAAATCATTTCGGATCGACCTTTTACGATTATGATAAAACTTTGCACAGTTGTTTGTTATTGCCCAACATGCCATTTTACATATATGGTTCCCTAGTTTTGCACACGACTAACACTTGAAACGGGCTTATGCAAAAATGATACGCATAAATAGAAAAATAAATATCTCGTGAACGATTTGTTTGATCGAGATGGTGTCTTAGAAGAAGTTGCGGACAAGTATTGTGTCTTCCAAAAAAAATATACACTGTAAAAAATTATATTTTTTTTACAACAACAAAAAATATAATTATCAAAAAAAAAAAAATTACTCAAATTGCATTTTTTTTAATTTTTTTTTTATATTTATTTTGTAGTTTAGATAAAGTGATACGTACTGTCACTGTGCATTTGCTGGGCAAATCATAAACAAAAAAAATTGAATTATTGAAAAAATAAGTATTTTCCAAAATACTACCGATGGTTATCGAACATCTTTGAAATAGTTCTTCTTCTTCTTCTTCGCATTTCAAGCTTATTGCATATCGCATATTAGCTTATTGCGTGCTCTCAACTTAGTGTTCTAGATGCAGTTCCACAGTTATTAATTGAGAGCTTTCGATGCCTGTACCATTTTTGCATTGGTATAATTGTGTGGCAAGTCCAATCATACTTCTATGCCCAGGGAAGTCGAGAAATTTTCCTACCCGAAAAATTCCTAGACCGGACCGGGAATCGAACCCAGCCACCTCCAGCATGGTCTTGCTTTGTAGCTGTGCCTTTACCGACTGAGCTAAGGGAGTGAATTAGTGTTAATATTTAAACACATTAAATTTAAAACAAAAAAGCTCATAATGCTTAAATTGCCCGAAGTTGCTATTTTCGAGATACTCGTAGGTTAAAATTCACTTATCGCATAATTTGAGCAATTTTCGCTCTTTTGAGATGTTATTCGTGAATGTTCAATCTTGAAAATATTTTTAACAAAAATTCCAATTAATTTCCTTAAACTTTGCTGTTCACAGTTTTTTAATCATACGCATGAGTTAAGATATAATGGAATGGCATGTTGGACAATAACAAACAACTGTGCAAAGTTTCAACATAATCGTAGAAGGTCCATCAAAAAATTTTAAAAAAATCGTCAATTGAAATGGAATGGAACAATGGAACTGCTGAACAGTGGGTAAAAGTATCAAAACTCAGTATCCACTCGGCTGTCGACAGAAGCAAACCACTCTTTAAATGTGTGTCACACGATCGTCTGTTTACTCGGCAGCAACCAGTGTGTGGTCCTCCTCATTGTTCTTCATCAGCAGTTCTTTCAGTCGATGCATCGTCGACTTTGGAAAGCAACCGTTTCGTGATCTGCGTGTGAGTGCTGACCACGTTTTGCGTCCATTGCTGCAATGGAAGCGCTCTGACCCTCATTGGCGAATCTTCCAAACAATGAAAACACTGGAAGCGGCTCCCGTTCTGGTGGAGGGGGCTTATTGGATAGCGGAAGATATTTTTAAGATGTATTGTATAGTGAACAAGAATCCTCGGCTCTGTAAAGTTAATTCGGTTGAGCCTTATCAAATAAGTTAATGATAAAAAAAGCATCAAAAGAAGTCGGCTCCACCATCGCCCAAAACCTTATGAGTGGTGTCAAGGGCAAGGTGCGGGCATACGGTTATGGAGTGGAGATCCAATAAAGCAATGAAGTAGAAACCTAACCATAATGTTGTACTTAATTCCCTAAATGTTTGAAGAAATCCGACTTAAAATGAATTTTTGGTGACCTTTTTTGTGTGTCTCACTTTTTTCTAGTACAGTCTTTACTATGAAAAAAAAATATTTAATTGAATTTTCATGAACACGTTGATAACCTAGATGTCTTAAACCTCATGGAGTCACGAATACGTATACAATCAAAGAGTTTCCTTCTAATTTAGGATGTC